ATATATATATATATATATATTATTATTATTTTTTTTTTCTTTCCCTTTCCCTCTTTCCTTACAGAACGGAAGAAAAAAAAGGAAGAACTATCTCTTGAAGCCGCAGCACACATAACTTATTTTGAGGTTGCTTCTCTTCCGCCGCATCCGTGTTCACTGTCTCCGAGGTTGCAGGGTTTCACGGCTCCAATGGCGGCTTTCGATCACTTCGGAAACATGTACGAAGTCGCATTCAAGCCCCGCCTGCTTCTCTCACTCATAAGAGACCATCTTCCCGACGAGAATAGTTCGTTCTCGGACCCCTCTAAACTCTCAAAGGCCGTGTCACTCGTAAAAACGCACTCTCTTCTATCCGAGTCTTTCCTCGCAGACTCCACGTCCGCCAAAGTAATCGAAGCCTGGAAATCCGCATTCTCCTCATGGCTCAACCGCATATTCTCCCTCCTCTCCACCTCCATGGTGTGAATCAAAAGCAGCAAGCTTTTAAATTTTCTTCATTTTTTTCTTTCTTGTTTTGAATGATTTTTGTAGTTGAGATGGGTGTGTTGTTCTTTTCTAGCCTGATAAATGCTGGGCGGGGATCTCTCTGCTCGGGGTGACATGTGAAGAGTGCAGCTCTGAGCGTTTTCTGGAATCTTACTCTGCGTGGTTCAACAAGTTGCTGGCTTTTCTACAGGTACAGAGATGTTTTGCCTTTCATGCTGATGATTATTTTGTCAGACTTTTTGGGTTTAGGAATACAAAGTGCTGTTCACTGTAGATATACAGTTACCTAGGGTAGTTGTTTGGATGAACATTTACATAAGTCTAGGAAAAGAAAGTAAGGCTTTAGGAAATAAATTTCTTCATTAGCCAAAATTAACTTATTTATTAGTTTCAAGTAATCTTTTAGAGAAGTTGGAATGAGAGAATTTCTATAAATTAATGTATGCATAAACTAGTTTTAGTTTATAGAGAAACTCATTTAATTTTTTTTTTATTCATCTTCTTTTTCTTTGTGTTTATGGAGAACTTTATCCACATAGATTCTAGATGAATTTAGACCTCAGTGAAGCTCACATGTGCCTAGTACATTGGTTCTTTTGAGCATATGACACGGGTTTGATCTCTTATCTGTGGTCTCGTATTGAGAATATCTCTGGTCTAATTCTAGATCTAAAACATAATGATTCTTTTTAACTGTAATGCTTGGTATGCTATCCTGCACATATTTTAGCGTACAAGCCAATGCTGGTGCTTGAAAGAGAAGTTAATGCATTCGATACCGTTTATATCTAATGTGCTTGTATTACTCACCTTTACAGATTTCAGGCATCCCTCCTGTAAATTGTAAATAGGCAGTCTATCTTTTGCAGATGCCTTTTGGAATTACAAAATGTGCTTGTTCCTTCTGTATGTCATTAAAGAGCTCACAAAGCTTCCTTTCTTGTATTCGATGAGGATGCCATCTTTTTCTACATGATATGTTACTGATTAACACTATACATCATTTATGTTATACTGTCTATTTCCTTTGACTTTCATTTGAATCTTTTAAAGTACGAGCGCACTCAAAAAAGATGTCCTTGTTTGCATTCATCTTTGTACAAATATCTGAAATGAATTTTGTATTTTTGTATGGTCAATTGTGACGAGCTCCTTGATCTTTGTTCAGTCACCAGCAGATTCACATCTAGTGAGGGTAGCGGCTTGTGCTTCATTGTCGGATATATTTATAAGGTTAGATATTTCTTTTCCTACCTTGAGACTATTAGTTGGTACAAATATTGGTCTGCAATGTAGAGTGCTCATGCTTGATGCATCTGATTAATCTCTCTCTCTCTCTCTCTCTCTCTCTTTCAACCATTGTCACCTACGTCAGTAATAATTTTTTCTTTCTCTGTTATGCATAATACTCAATAGGACGAGGTCAAGGTTGTTGGACTTGAGTTTGCATAAACTTGTCAAACAAACCTGCAAGAGTTTACTTGATTAAAAAACAGTATTAATCTGTTTTTTGCAGTATCTAAAATAAATGAATACCATAAATTAATAAAAAGAAATTCCATGCCCCAAGTTTAAATATATTACCAGTCTTATTTTTAGGGCATTCCTCCTTGTTTTGAAAATGAGCCTAGCAACTGTATTGCTTGAGCACCTCGACCACCCTCTAATGTGAGATATCTTTTGGACTACAAACCAAACAAATTGGTGATATCAATTACACAATCCACTCTTTAACAGTGATCTCAGTTCTCAACTAATACTGCAAGATCAGAAAGAAAAAAAGAAACAGGGACACCTTGTTCACAATTTAGGCTTCATAATGGCAGTCAACCAACTAGATAGAGGCCAGTAGTAGTTGCTCAAGTCCGAGTGTGTTAGTGAGGTGACTTGATTTGTGAGCCCACTTGAGATTAAAACCAGAGAAATATAATTTTAGAGGGCTTAATAGACCCTTTTCTTGTTCTACTATATATATATATATATATATAAGATGTGTATAAAAGACAGATTGGGTACCTTGATGCATGCTTGTTGGGAAAGAAAAAAGAACTCAATTTTTTTGATAATTTTTGTAATTCTATTCTGTATAATATCTGTATAATATAAAAAAGATATATATATATAAATTCAAATATGGAAAAGTTACTCTAAAGGGGATTCTTTGTTTTTTCTTTTTTTTCCTTTCCTAGAGTCCGATTCCAATTCCTTCTGTTTGTGTTGAAATAGAAAGATTCTAAAAATATCAATAAAATAATCTTTTTTAAACCCTTCCTGAAAAATCCTATATCTTAGTTTCTATTTTTTCCAACTTAGAATCTTTCTGCCAGATAATCTTTTATTGTATATAATATGTAGTGAACAAAAAAAAAGAATAAAATGGAATTTTTTGAAACATCGGAAGAAGTAGTCATTTATATGAAAAAAAAGTAGAATTCTTAAGAACTCAAGGGGGATCCACTTGCATTCGTCAAAGAAAGAGTGGATCCCTGTTCAGTTCTTATACTTTCATTTCAAAAACCAAAATAGAATACGATTACTAGAGAGATGAGCCCAATCCGGAATATGAACCATAAAAGAAAATACCAATTAAACCGATCACAGTAATACCAGTTACAGTACCTATTATCCAAAGAGGAATTCTTCCAGTAGTATCGGCCATTTATCCCACTTTCCTCCACATTTAATCACGTAGTCAGTCATGCTAAAGACATTAACAAACAGTCATAGATAATTATGAAATGATATCCTTCCGAATGGGATAAAAGAATTCTTAATATATATATATATATTATTTACTATTCCTATTTTTTCTATTAATTCTATCTATTAATTCTAATTAATTGAAGAAATAATTTGAAAATAAAACAGCAAGTACAAAAATAAGTAATAACCCCCAGTAGAGACTGGTACGATTCAATTCCACATTTTGTTCATTTGGGTTTGATTGTGTCATAGCTCTATAATTCAAATTAGGTTTATCGTTGGATGAACTGCATTGCTGATATTGATCCCAAAAAAGAAACAGTGGGTACCGCTAGTCCGTGAACAGCTAGCCATCGTACTGTAAAAATTGGATAGGTCCTATCTATAGTCATTGGAGCCTCCTAAAAAGATCTACTAAATTCATCAAGTTGTTCCAAAGGATCAAAACGGCCAGTTATTAATGGAATTCCTTGTCGGTTCTCTGTAAAATACTCGTTTGGGCGGGGACTTCCAAATACATCATAAGCTAGACCTGTACTGACAAATAACCAACCTGCAATGAATAGGGAGGGTATAGTAATGCTATGAATAATCCAGTATCGGATACTGGTAATAATATCAGCAAAAGAACGTTCTCCTGTGCTTCCAGACATCTTGAACTCCACATATTCTTGTACAGTCAAAAAGGGGGGGTCGAGTCCATAAAAGACAAGATCAGTAAGGCGAAATTTACTGAAATATAATCCTTGTTAGATCGTCCATTTTGTACCAACGGTGTCTTTTGAGTATACCGAATCAGTATAGCTATCCTTCTTCTAACAGAGCAATGAAATTTCACAATCAGTGTAAAAATTTAGTACTAGATTTTTTTCGTCTTTTTTCATTGATTGTCTCTATGTAGTCAAAAATTCGATAGAAAATTTTGCAAAGTTTGGGTATATAAAAATTTTTTTGATATTCAATTTTTATAGTAATAGTATAAAATGAAGGTTCTTAACATTTCAGATTATTAGTTTTGGATTAGAAACTAAAGATCCATTCAAATCGGAATATGAGAAAAGGGTTTCTGATAATTCATAAAGTAGATTTTATATTTTAATAATTCAATTAGTGCCAAATCAATAAATCTATTTTTTGTGGTTGTTGAAGATCTTTTTTTTCGATTTTCTTCTACATTAATTCAAAGTGAAATAAAATGAAATAACAAAGTTATTATTCTTTGTTTGAATATTCTTAATTTTTCTTTTCTTTTTCTAATAGAAAGATAATTCTATTGGATATCTATAGAATAATACTCAATATTTTCATTAGAGCAGGTTTACTTAATTCCTGAGTTGATTAAAAAGTCTGTTGATTTGAAATCACAGGATGGGTAGATGTAACAGATGAGGAATTTATTTATAAATTATGTTACTCTATTTCTTTTTATTCGTCTCTAATGATTTATTGATGAATCGCCAATTTTGAATTGTATCTTTGAAGTAGGATTTTTTATCTTCTTTTTTCTCTCAAAAATGGAAATTTAGGGAAGTGCTTTATAAACATATGTATAAAAAGAACGAAAATATTTCATTTAGTTTCTATATGCCCACTATCACTAGTTATTTCGGTTTTTTACTATCGGTTTTAATAATAACCTCGTCTCTGTTTATTGGTCTTAGTAAAATACGACTTATTTGATTTTTAATTTTTAGAGGAATAGTCAATTTTGGTATAAGACATTCTATAATTCCTTACTATGTCAATTTACAATTCTCGATCGTTGAGATTCATGATCAATACAGATTTATGTTTAAGGCTAGATATTACCTTTCTTTTTACTTTTCGAACAAATAAAAATGATTGAAGTTTTTCTATTTGGAATCGTGTTAGGTTTAATTCCTATTACTTTGGCTGGATTATTTGTAACTGCATATTTANAGAGATGAGCCCAATCCGGAATATGAACCATAAAAGAAAATACCAATTAAACCGATCACAGTAATACCAGTTACAGTACCTATTATCCAAAGAGGAATTCTTCCAGTAGTATCGGCCATTTATCCCACTTTCCTCCACATTTAATCACGTAGTCAGTCATGCTAAAGACATTAACAAACAGTCATAGATAATTATGAAATGATATCCTTCCGAATGGGATAAAAGAATTCTTAATATATATATATATATTATTTACTATTCCTATTTTTTCTATTAATTCTATCTATTAATTCTAATTAATTGAAGAAATAATTTGAAAATAAAACAGCAAGTACAAAAATAAGTAATAACCCCCAGTAGAGACTGGTACGATTCAATTCCACATTTTGTTCATTTGGGTTTGATTGTGTCATAGCTCTATAATTCAAATTAGGTTTATCGTTGGATGAACTGCATTGCTGATATTGATCCCAAAAAAGAAACAGTGGGTACCGCTAGTCCGTGAACAGCTAGCCATCGTACTGTAAAAATTGGATAGGTCCTATCTATAGTCATTGGAGCCTCCTAAAAAGATCTACTAAATTCATCAAGTTGTTCCAAAGGATCAAAACGGCCAGTTATTAATGGAATTCCTTGTCGGTTCTCTGTAAAATACTCGTTTGGGCGGGGACTTCCAAATACATCATAAGCTAGACCTGTACTGACAAATAACCAACCTGCAATGAATAGGGAGGGTATAGTAATGCTATGAATAATCCAGTATCGGATACTGGTAATAATATCAGCAAAAGAACGTTCTCCTGTGCTTCCAGACATCTTGAACTCCACATATTCTTGTACAGTCAAAAAGGGGGGGTCGAGTCCATAAAAGACAAGATCAGTAAGGCGAAATTTACTGAAATATAATCCTTGTTAGATCGTCCATTTTGTACCAACGGTGTCTTTTGAGTATACCGAATCAGTATAGCTATCCTTCTTCTAACAGAGCAATGAAATTTCACAATCAGTGTAAAAATTTAGTACTAGATTTTTTTCGTCTTTTTTCATTGATTGTCTCTATGTAGTCAAAAATTCGATAGAAAATTTTGCAAAGTTTGGGTATATAAAAATTTTTTTGATATTCAATTTTTATAGTAATAGTATAAAATGAAGGTTCTTAACATTTCAGATTATTAGTTTTGGATTAGAAACTAAAGATCCATTCAAATCGGAATATGAGAAAAGGGTTTCTGATAATTCATAAAGTAGATTTTATATTTTAATAATTCAATTAGTGCCAAATCAATAAATCTATTTTTTGTGGTTGTTGAAGATCTTTTTTTTCGATTTTCTTCTACATTAATTCAAAGTGAAATAAAATGAAATAACAAAGTTATTATTCTTTGTTTGAATATTCTTAATTTTTCTTTTCTTTTTCTAATAGAAAGATAATTCTATTGGATATCTATAGAATAATACTCAATATTTTCATTAGAGCAGGTTTACTTAATTCCTGAGTTGATTAAAAAGTCTGTTGATTTGAAATCACAGGATGGGTAGATGTAACAGATGAGGAATTTATTTATAAATTATGTTACTCTATTTCTTTTTATTCGTCTCTAATGATTTATTGATGAATCGCCAATTTTGAATTGTATCTTTGAAGTAGGATTTTTTATCTTCTTTTTTCTCTCAAAAATGGAAATTTAGGGAAGTGCTTTATAAACATATGTATAAAAAGAACGAAAATATTTCATTTAGTTTCTATATGCCCACTATCACTAGTTATTTCGGTTTTTTACAGATTGTAAGTACCAAGCTTGAAACAATTTGCATCACAATACCTAGAGACCTGAATGCCTCCTCTATCTTCATATAACAACCCATGCTCGAGAGCCTTTTTGAGGTACCTTAGAATGTGAATGATAGCATTCCAGTGGCCAATACATGGAACCTGCATGAACTAACTAACCACTCCAATTGCACAAGATAGATCAGGCCTTGTAATAGTGAGATAAATCAGTTTTCCAACCAGTCTCCTGGATCTCTGAATCAGAAAATAATTCACCTTCTTTTGTCAATAATTTCTGATTTAGGTCCATAGGACTATCTAGTGATCTACAATCAATCATACCTTTTTCTTGTAATATATCAAGATCATACTTCATTTGAGAGATTACAACTCCATCTTTTGACTGAGCTACATCAATGCCCAAGAAGTATTTAAAGCTTCCAAGATCCTTGGTTTGAAAATGTCTACACAAGTGCTCCTTCAGTTGAGATATTGTAACATTATCATTTTTGTAATGACTATATCATCAACATATGCTATTAAGTAAACATATTTCCTGAGAGATGTATGATAGTAAAAGACCGAATAATCTGCTTCACTGCGTCTTAGCCCAAATTTTTGAACAATGGAGTTGAATTTTCCAAACCAAGCACGTGGTGATTGCTTCAGGCCATATAGAGTGCGATGCAATTTGTATACTATACTAGACTCCCCCTGAGCAACAAACCATTGCTCCATATAAGTTTCTTCCTCAAGATCATCATGGAGGAAGACATTTATCATATCCAATTGATGAAGTGACCAATGACGAATTGTTCCCATTTCAAAGAAAAGACCAATAGTAGTCATCTTGGCCATTGGAGAGAAAGTGTCACAATAATCAAAGCCATAAACCTGAGTGTACCCTTTTGCAACTAACTGGGCTTTGAGTCAATAAACTTTCACCATCGAGGCCGACTTGAACTGCATATACACATTGGCAACCAACTACCTTTTTGCCTGGTGGAAAGGCCATGGCTCCCAAGTATTATTGTGGTCAAGAGTTTGCATTTCTGCAATCATGGCTTGTTGCCATCAAGGAGGACCAAGTGTTTCATTCACATTTTTTTTGGGTATAACCATAGAAGACATTGAGGATAAAAGAGAACAATAGGAAAGCAATAGCTAAGAAAATTATAAACAAGATGTGGGTTTCAAGTGGAACAAGTACCTTTTCTGAGAGCAATGAGTCATCCTGAATCATCTTCACTAGGAGTCGTGGTATTAAGTGACAAGGGAGAAGAATCTGAAGTAGGGGATTCACCATTTTCTTAGAGTCGGAGGATATCAATATGTGGAGATGATGGTTGAGGAGGACTTTGATCAATACTTGAATTGACAGAGACATTAGAAATATTGGAATCAACCACTGGAATAGGAAGGACCTGCTATATGACATGAACATCTCGAACTGAGGGAGAGAAGTAAGGAGTCTATTCAAAGAATGTAACATTGGCAAACATGTAGTACTTGGTTTCAGAGAATAACACCGGTACTCTTTTTGAAGTCGTGAATAGCCTAAGAAGACACATTTGATAGCACAAGCAAAAAACTTGTCTAACCTTGGAGACATGTCATGAACAAAACATACACAATCAAAAACTCGAGAAGTGTGAAAGAGAGAATTATTTGGAAATAGAATGGAGAAAGGAACCTTATGATTGGAGAGCAGAACATACTCTTAATGAGAAAACATGCAGTTAAGATGACATCTCTAGTGATGGATAGGAATATGGGCACCTAGCAAAAGGGTACAAACAATTTCAACCAAGTGTTTATTTTTTCTTCCTGCTATACTATCTTGTTGTGGCATATGGGGATAATTGGACTGATGTGATATATCATGTGAACTCAAAACTGCAAAAAAAGTGCATGAGAAGTACTCTTTGACATTGTCACTTCTTAAGATTTTGATTTCTTGACCGAATTGATTGTTGATTTTATTCAAAAAAGATGTGAAGATGGGTAACAATTCAGAATGATCTTTCATAGGATAAACCCAAGTACATCTCGAATATTCATCAATAAACGTAACAAAAATACTTAAAACCAAAAGATGAGATGCGACTAGGTCCCCAAATATTAGAATGGATAATAGAGAAATTAGAATCACACTTTGATTGAAATTACACTTTAATAGAGAATTTCACTAACATAAATAGACTTAATAATTATTCCAACAAGCCCAAATTTGTAATCTTAAACTTACAAGTTTACGTGTGAGTTTGAGAACAATGGATGGTCCTATTAAGTTGCTTAGATTTGACATTCCATCTACTTAACTGCTTATTAAGTTTAACAGCTTGCAGGATCTCTACAGAAACAAAAATTAATATAGACATGCACTTATTCTATATGTTTAAATGTTTCCAATATTTTGTTTGTAGTATATTTTCTGTCACTTATTGCGTGAGTCAAACTAGTAAATCTTGGAACCAGTCTTAGTCCTATCGCTGGTGAGATCTGTCTTCATTAAAATAGCTTGCAGATTCCTGTACTAACTTTCTGTTCCAAAATAGGTTAAGTAGATATCCTAAGATCAAGAAAGAATCATCTTCCTGTGCTGTTAAAGTTGTTCAGCCTACATTGAAGATGTTGACTGATGAGAACTCAGAGGCAATATGGGTAAGTTGGTTTTGGCAGTTCCTAGATTTGCATTTGGAATCAGTATATTTGAAGGTATTTTATATGTGCAATGTGTTAAGAGATGTAATGTCTTTTTGTTTTAAACTTATCTAATGTGGAAGATAGAATGTTTTGGTTGAGTGCAGACAAATGTTTAAATATAAGTTCTGTTTGCTGTTGACATTAGATACCCTACTTTTATTTGTCAATTCTCATATGCCTGTTATTCTTTTTTTTTTCCAGAAATTATATGCTTATTTGCTTACAGCGTTTTAATATTTGAATTGTGGTGAATGCAGGATGCTGCAGTTCATTTGTTATGCACCATAGCAACCTCATTTCCATTTTCGATTCGTAGTCATTATGATGGTGTAAGCTTCTCTTTTTTTGGAAGTCCTTAGTTTCTGTTTGCATGAGTAGAATTTTGCTTTAGACAAATTCCACTGCCTCCTTCTATACTTTTACCAGAGCAAGAATTTCAAACTCAAGTGGTATTTTTGATATGTTCCTTTGCTTTTAATTTCACCGGATCTTTCATTTTATGACTTCATTACTATGTTCCTGTTGCTCTTATTATTAGGCTGGTAGATATTGACATGCTGTAGGTAGAGTTTGGCATGTTGTGCTGTATGCCTCATTCTCAAGTTTATGTTATTTTCTCTTACATATTTTTTTGGTGTAGAAGGATTTATTATTGTCATCNTATATTACCAGTCTTATTTTTAGGGCATTCCTCCTTGTTTTGAAAATGAGCCTAGCAACTGTATTGCTTGAGCACCTCGACCACCCTCTAATGTGAGATATCTTTTGGACTACAAACCAAACAAATTGGTGATATTAATTACACAATCCACTCTTTAACAGTGATCTCAGTTCTCAACTAATACTGCAAGATCAGAAAGAAAAAAGAAACAGAGACACCTTGTTCACAATTTAGGCTTCATAATGGCAGTCAACCAACTAGATAGAGGCCAGTAGTAGTTGCTCAAGTCCAAGTGTGTTAGTGAGGTGACTTGATTGGTGAGCCCACTCGGGATTAAAACCAGAGAAATATAATTTTAGAGGGCTTAATAGACCCTTCTCATGTTCTACTATGTCCTAGACTGCCAGGTACCATAAATAGAGATAACCCACACACTCCTCCCTACTTTAGTGCTTTCGACTTCACTAACATAAAGAGACTTAATAATTATTCCAACACTCCTCCTCAAGTTGGAGCATACAGATTGTAAGTACCAAGCTTGGAACAAATAAATTCAATCTGAGGTTCCCTTAAAGACTTGGCCAACACATCTGTGAGTTGGTCATTTGATCAAACAAACTTTGTACATATTTCTCTTGTCAACAACTTTTCACGAATAAAATGACAATCAATTTCTATATATTTAGTTCTCTCATGTAACACTCGATTTGATGCAAATGGAAAGCAACTTGATTATCACATACATCTTCATAGTCTGGATGTCACAGAAGTTAAGTTCTTGGAAGAACTGCTTCACCCATATAAGTTCATACATTAGTGATGCCATTGTCCTATATTTAGCTTTAGTTGTTGATCGAGGAGCTACATTATGTTTCTTACTTTTCCATGAATAATGTTTTTTTCAAGGAAAACACAATATCCAGTAGTAAACTGTTTGTCAATAGGCGAACCTACCCAATTTGCATCACAATACCTAGAGACCTGAATGCCTCCTCTATCTTCATATAACAACCCTTTTTCGAGAGCCTTTTTGAGGTACCTTAGAATGTGAATGATAGCATTCCAATTGCCAATACATGGAACCTGCATGAACTAACTAACCAGTCTACTGTATTGTATCTCTCTGAATCAGAAAATAATTCACCTTCTTTTGTCAATAATTTCTGATTTAGGTCCATAAGACTATCTAGTGATCTACAATCAATCATACCTTTTTCTTGTAATATATCAAGATCATACTTCATTGAGAGATTACAACTCCATCTTTTGACTGAGCTACATCAATGCCCAAGAAGTATTTAAAGCTTCCAAGATCCTTGGTTTGAAAATGTCTACACAAGTGCTCCTTCAGTTGAGATATTCTAGCATTATCATTTCTGTAATGACTATATCATGAACATATACTATTAAGTAAACATATTTCCCGAGAGATGTATGAAGTAAAAGACCGAATAATTTGCTTCATTGTGTCTTAGCCCAAATTTTTGAACAATGGAGTTGAATTTTCCAAACCAAGCATGTGGTGATTGCTTCAGGCCATATAGAGTGCGATGCAATTTGTATACTATACTAGACTCCCCTTGAGCAACAAACCGTTGCTCCATATAAGTTTCTTCCGCAAGATCATCATGGAGGAAGACATTTCTGATATCCAATTGATGAAGTGACCAATGATGAATTGTTCCCATTTCAAAGAAAAGACCAATTGTAGTCATCTTGGCCATTGGAGAGAAAGTGTCACAATAATCAAAGCCATAAACCTGAGTGTACCCTTTTGCAACTAACTGGGCTTTGAGTCGATAAACTTCACCATCGGGGCCGACTTGAACTGCATATACCCATTGGCAACCAACTGCCTTTTTGCCTAGTGGAAGGGCCATGGCTCCCAAGTATTATTGTGGTCAAGAGTTTGCATTTCTGCAATCATGGCTTGTTGCCATCAAAGAGGACCAAGTGTTTCATTCACATTTTTTTGGGTATAACCATAGAAGACACTGAGGATAAAAGAGAACAATAGGAAAGCAATAGCTAAGAAAATTATAAACATGATGTGGGTTTCGAGTGGAACAAGTACCTTTTCTGAGAGCAATGGGCCATCCTGAATCATCTTCACTAGGAGTCGTGGTATTAAGTGACAAGGGAGAAGAATTTGAAGTAGGGGATTCACCATTTTCTTAGAGTCGGAGGATATCGATATGTGGAGATGATGGTTGAGGAGGACTTTGATCAATATTTGAATTGACAAAGACATTAGAAATATTGGAATCAACCACTGGAATAGGAAGGACCTTCTGTATGACATGAACATCTCGAACTGAGGGGGAGAAGTAAGGAGTCTATTCAAAGAATGTAACATTGGCAAACATGTAGTACTTGGTTTCAGAGAATAACACCGGTACCCTTTTTGAAGTCGGGAATAGTCTAAGAAGACACATTTGATAGCACAAGCAGAAAACTTGTCTAACCCTGGAGACATGTCATGAACAAAACATACACAATCAAAACTCGAGGAGAAGTGTGAAAGAGAGGATTATTTGGAAATAGAATGGAGAAAGGAGCCTTATGATTGGAGAGGAGGACATCCTCTTAATGAGGAAACATGCAGTTAAGATGACATCTCTAGTGATGAATAGGAATATGGGCACCTAGTAAAAGGGTACAAACAATTTCAACCAAGTGTCTATTTTTTCTTCCTGCTATACTATTTTGTTGTGGCATATGGGGATAATTGGACTGATGTGATATATCATGTGAACTCAAAACTGCAAAAAAAGTGCATGAGAAGTACTCTTTGACATTGTCACTTCTTAAGATTTTGATTTCTTGATCGAATTGATTCTTGATTTTATTCAAAAAAGATGTGAAGATGGGTAACAATTCGGAATGATCTTTCATAAGATAAACCCAAATACATCTCGAATATTCATCAATAAACGTAACAAAAATACTTAAAACCAAAAGATGAGATGCGACTAGGTCCCCAAATATTAGAATGGATAATAGAGAAACTAGAATCACACTTTGATTGAAATTAATTTCACTAACATAAATAGACTTAATAATTATTCCAACAAGTCCAAATTTGTAATCTTAAACTTACAAGTTTACGGGTGAGTTTGAGAACAATGGATGGTCCTATTAAGTTGCTTAGATTTGAAATTCCATCTACTTAACTCCTTATTAAGTTTAATAGCTTGCAGGATCTCTACAGAAACAAAAATTAATATAGACATGCACTTATTCTATATGTTTAAATGTTTCCAATATTTTGTTTGTAGTATATTTTCTGTCACTTATTGCGTGAGTCAAACTAGTAAATCTTGGAACCAGTCTTAGTCCTATCGCTGGTGAGATCTGTCTTCATTAAAATAGCTTGCAGCTTCCTGTACTAACTTTCTGTTACAAAATAGGTTAAGTAGATATCCTAAGATCAAGAAAGAATCATCTTCCTGTGCTGTTAAAGTTGTTCAGCCTACATTGAAGATGTTGACTGATGAGAACTCAGAGGCAATATGGGTAAGTTGGTTTTGGCAGTTCCTAGATTTGCATTTGGAATCAGTATATTTGAAGGTATTTTATATGTGCAATGTGTTAAGAGATGTAATGTCTTTTTGTTTTAAACTTATCTAATGTGGAAGATAGAATGTTTTGGTTGAGTGCAGACAAATGTTTAAATATAAGTTCTGTTTGCTGTTGACATTAGATACCCTACTTTTATTTGTCAATTCTCATATGCCTGTTATTCTTTTTTTTTTCCAGAAATTATATGCTTATTTGCTTACAGCGTTTTAATATTTGAATTGTGGTGAATGCAGGATGCTGCAGTTCATTTGTTATGCACCATAGCAACCTCATTTCCATTTTCGATTCGTAGTCATTATGATGGTGTAAGCTTCTCTTTTTTTGGAAGTCCTTAGTTTCTGTTTGCATGAGTAGAATTTTGCTTTAGACAAATTCCACTGCCTCCTTCTATACTTTTACCAGAGCAAGAATTTCAAACTCAAGTGGTATTTTTGATATGTTCCTTTGCTTTTAATTTCACCGGATCTTTCATTTTATGACTTCATTACTATGTTCCTATTGCTCTTATTATTAGGCTGGTAGATATTGACATGCTGTAGGTAGAGTTTGGCATGTTGTGCTGTATGTCTCATTCTCAAGTTTATGTTATTTTCTCTTACATATTTTTTTGGTGTAGAAGGATTTATTATTGTCATCCCTTTGTATTTATGCTCACTTTCTCATTGAAATTCTTTTCCATTAAAATAAATACTCGGGATATACACATGTTTATTCAATGGTTCTAATGGGGTTTTATTTTGTATATTTACTTTAATAATCTTAAAAGTTAGTCATAAAACAAACAAAGGATGGACATTTGTTCTGAGATTTACATAACTGGGATGTTAATGCTTTTACACTATGTATCCACATTTGCACTCGTATTGACACAGATTTTCTTATTATAGTCCTCTGACGTCTCTCTCTGCATGTTTGGAAGATGACGAGCATGCCACTTTTGCATGTGATTAATACCAGTTATTATTTTTTTGTTTCATTTACGAGGGAAAGTGTTGAGAAAAGAAAAACTATTTCCCTTGGTGCCCGGATTCACATTTTGATGAGTGATTCTGATTTATGCAGGTTGAATCTGCTATCGCTTTAAAACTTTTGTCTGGAGGATGCAGTCTTGATATGTCGCAGGTAATATGTTCATAAAATTTTGTTTGGATCATTGGTATAAGAAGGGTGAAAGGGCATTATTTGTCTGCCTCTATATGTTAGCAGC